TCCCTCACCCTTCTGGGCTGTCACCCATGGGTCACAGCAGCTCAGCTCACGCAGTGGCCCCGCACTGGGGACAGTGCGAGGTGCAGCCCTGGCCTGTGTGTTCCCAGGCCTCTCTTCACAACGATTACCTTGCGTGATTTCATTACCAGGCCAGCCTGTGTTTTATAAAGCAGCCCACACCACCGTTTGGCATGAAATACAGACTCCATAGGTGCAAAATTTCCACCTCATTTAGGAGTATATCACTGCAGTGGATTTCAGTATCTGCTCCTGCACACAGGTAGCTATTTGATAATACCAGTTAGGACACTTCTCTACATGAACTTCTGCTCTAACACTGAAGATTTTAGTATTAGAGGTTAGTGTTGCAGACGGCAATTTTAGTTTTGACAGTTTTGCTGCAGTGGGAAAATAGACCTGTGAGGAAGGGGAAAAAAAAATCCTGACTCTTTTTCCAGCTCTTTCCAAGAAAAACCATCAGTAACCCACCTAAAGACCCATTCTCTGACTGTGCAGCCTTATTTCAAAGCCCAGGAAGGGCAAGAATTGTGCAGAGGGAAAGGCTGAGGAGTGCAGGCTCCACCAGCGCTGCAGAGCACRTTGCAAGGAGGAAGATCACCCACATTTTCTCTCGTGGAAGGGCTAGAGCCTGACAAGGCCGCCAGGAGATGGTTTATTAGGGGCTAGAAAGACRTGGAAGGCAGGAGAAAGAGCAATGCAACTGAACGCCCCAAAATACAGTGCTTTTTTAGTCATTRATGCAAAAGACAAGTAGTTTTGACTAAGGCTGTGGGCTTTCTGCAGAGTTTAGTGTTTACCAGTAAGAGAGGGAGTCAGAAGGTGAGAAAAGCAAATATTGACCACTACTACCCCGCAGTGWGACCAGATGCCTGTACCTCAGCTTGGGTACAACTGATGACACCAGCAGATGAAACAAGGTGGTTGTCTGATGACATCAGACAAAGCAGGAACGGGCATAAATAATAAAATCAAACTGGGTTATTTTTCTGCTCAGCTTCAAGTCTTTGATTTTCCAAACTCTGGCCATTGCCCCAGCACTCTGAGTCTCCTGCTTTGCAGGAGACATTYGGTGGCATCTCAGCTGGAGAGCAGCAGGAATCAAACAGGGCTGGCCAAGCTGCAGGGCAAGTACACAGCAATGTTTCTACAGACTATACATCCAGTCTCCAACATGCACCTTGGCATTTAACAACCTCTATGTTTTCCTTATCTCCTCATCCTTTCCCAACTCAGTTTCTTCCAAGCTGATGCATCTTTGTCCACTGAGTCACTCTTCATACAGAAGCTGTGCTATACATTTGATCAGTCTCTGTAGCTAGTGTAATTCTATTATAAACTTTTGCAAAAGCAATGGAAAAAAAAAAACCAACATAATTGTCCGAGATAGCCCAAGTTGTTTCCTCTGGGGTTGATCAAGTAGGGTGGAAACAAGCATAGAGAATGCTGAATGCAAAGGACTATTTCCCTCGGCACACAGTAGGAGTGACCGTGAGTTACTGCCTGTTCCACTGCCGCCGAGGGAGCCGCRGGCCGCTCGTGGCCACGTTTTACCCTCCTCCCTGTCACCCCGAGGCCTTGGGTGGCGGTTGTGTAAACAGCCCAACAGAACAGGCGGAATATGGGAACAGGTCGAACACACCCGGGCGAGCAGGTGTCTCCCTCCAGTTACGGACCTGTAAATACTTCCCCAATCATTGTTTCCTCCTTCACCTCTCCTCTTTTTCCACGGCTGTTTAGTGGCCGAGGCGACAGAACCCGAGCGCAGCGTCAATGCACRCAGGCCTCTCAGGGCTTATTTGATAAGCAGCAAATGTCACCTGGCGAGGGGAAACGAAGGGAGACAGAGAGTGGCGGTGCTAGGAGCAAAGAGGAACTGTCACTAACAGGGACTTCAGGAGAGTGAGAAGGCAAAGGGCAAATTCTTTTACAGGCTACAGCTCAGAGCAACCAAGACATTTGTTATCGGAGAGGTTGGAGAAACCTGCTTTGTAGCTTCCTGCAGAGCTTTCATTAGAGCGTGAGGGACGAGCAGGGGTGCCTGGCAGCCCCCGGGGCTGCTGCTTTTGTACCAGGATTCACGGCTCGCTCCTCACTGTGCTCCGAGGCAGAAAACTGGCTGGCAAACGCGGAGGAGTTCAGCGCCCTGCATCCATCCAGTAGCCTCCATGGGCCGGGTGCCACAGGACACGGCCCTCCCATTGCGTCTTCTCCGGCCTTGACAGGAGCCCAAAAGGCAGGAGCATCAAACAGACAAACAACAGGTCGGGTAAGAAAAATACTGCCTCTTGATTTAATGTGTAAAGACGTGGGTAAACAAACAGAACGGTACGGTAAGAGGCTCCACCCCTCTCATCACCCCCACAGCAGCTCTCCCCGAACCATGACGGGTGCCCGGCGATGACTCGGAAGGAGCAGCACGGCTGGAGACCGTGGGCATGGCCATGAGAAGCCTCCCTGCTGCACTGGGGTGCGAGCAGCCAGAGGAAGCAGCTTCCCTCTCCCCGAGCAGGACCACAGCTCGCGGCCATGGATGGGAAGGAGCCCTCTGCGCTSCACGTGAACGGCACGGATCTTTTTTGAACACGCAGAAGGAGCATGTGTGAACTTGGAAAACACAGCTGGAAGCGACACGAAAGGTGCAAGCCACAATACGTACTGACCTTGGCAACCAACCCTGTGCTCCACAGGCTTTTTAGCTTCTCAAAGAATGAGGAAAACCAGGGCAGGTAGGTCCAAGTTGGCAAATGCTCCAGTACTTGTTGGTGAATGCAAAACTCAGTACGGGGACAGCGAACAAGACTACTCTCTGCACACACATCCTTCTACCCTGCTCCGGTCCCCCCCAGCCCAGAACTGGCCTCGTCCTCTCCAACGGTTCTCCGGGAGCTGGGGAGCATCAGGCGGCCAGAAAGGTTATCGGGAAGCAGCCCTCAGTGCAGGCATCGGAGGACGATGATTTGGGTACCTGAGTGGAGGGCTAGGGAAACCAGGAGGGGTCAGAGGATGCTGCTGGAGAGAGGCAGGGATTGTAGGCACGAGCGCTCCGGCTCCCACCTTTCCGGCAGAAGCCGCCCCGGAGTCGAGGGAGGCGACGGAGCCAGGGCAGAGCCGGCTCTGAAGGTAGTTGAACGGCTGCCAGCCAGAGTCTACAGTACGGACACGAGCGCTGCCTGGATGTCCATGTCCCAGAGCGGGGACGGGTGGCACCCTGGTCCACGGCAGGCAGCAAGGACCACGTTTCACTGCTCTCTGCCTCTCCAGGGAGCAGGAGCACATGGTGGGACCGATTCTGCTGCCACCACATGGGGCCAAATGTGAGGGGAGGCTGAGCCAGCCCACACGCGCCCCAGCTCGCTGGGGCGAGCACCAGTGTCCAGTGCGGGACCCCCCCGTGGTCCAGAGGCCCACATCAGAGCCCCTCAGATCTCAACGTCACTTTCTTTGTCGTTATCATGGTCACCGTCATAGAACTCGTTGGGAGCTTCAGGCCTGGGGGAGAGAGAGTGACTTGAGTGGGGAGGCCCCGTGGGGACAGGGATGAATGTCTAGGTCACACGCACGAGATCAGAAGGAGCATTTTGCCCATGCACCCCATGACACTTTGTAAGGAGACCACGTGTTTGTGCAGAATGGCTCCCTGAGCAAAACCAGAACCTCAGAAGTGACTTAGTATTTCCCTCCAGGACACAATGTTTTGCACATCACTTTACCCATCCCAGTGGGAACAGAGAGAGAATTCCGTTCCTCCAGCACACCCGAGCAGGTACCTGCTGTAGTTTTCCTCAGAGCCTCTTTCCTCTGGATCAGGTTCATCCGTGCGATCGTAGCTGAGCAAGTCGGAGGGGACATCGTGGATCTGCACGCTGGGCGCGTGGTTCAGCATCTTCAAGTTCTCAAATATCGTCTGCCTGATCTGGTCCAAGTACTACTTAGAGGAAAGAAAAAAACATGAGAATAAAAGAGAAAATCACAACAATCAGASTTGATAGTCTACACAGAGCCAAAACTATTAGCACTATTACCTGCCTGCATCATCTAAGTGGTTGCCATGAGAAATAACATTTGTGCAAGGGGCAGAGGAGGTGATAGTCGTCGTGACTCAAGCACACAGAAAACATGTTGTGAGAGAGCTCAACAACATTCCCAAAGGCAAAGGACCCTTTCTCTCAGAAGGACTTTCTGCCATCCCAGAGGGAAGGCTCTGCCTGCACTTCCTCAGCTCTCTGTCTCCGTACAAATTCCTTGCCTGGTTCCACAGGCTGCAGCATCAACAGCAGGGTTTGGGGAACACCCAGCAGGGAAAGGCTGCGAGCACCCACCTGCCTGGAGTTCTGGTTCTCAATCCTCGTGCTCACATCAGGATGAAGGGTGAAGTCGGGAGCGAAGTATTCAAAGTACTCTGTGAGGGAAGGAGGAAGGAAGTCAAAGCACAGGAGCAAGGGGACCAGCCAGGCTGCTCTGCAGGGAGAGAGGGCTCTGCTCTCTGCAGAGAGAGTCCCTCTCCCACCACCCAAGCTGTAATGACACCCTAAAAAGCACCAGGATCTACTTACAGCTCTAATTGTATGGATTATCCGAAACAAAAAAGACAATAAACGTAATGCCCAGGTCACTGAACAGGAAACGATTCAAATTATGTAACACATGACAAAAAAAGGATTTTCTTTCCTGTCCAGCAAAACCACAAGCTAGAAGCTTGGGAGCTAGAAGGGACAGAGACCGCTGTCACTTGAACCCAGATACTCCCTCTGGTCAATGTGCAACAGAAATKATAATCTTGCAGCTGGTACAACAGGAATCTTAGGTAAATAATGAAAAAACATTAAAGAAAAAAAAACACCTAAAACAAACAAAACCAACCAACAACCCACTAAAAACAAGGGATCTCCAACATACCACTGTACGGGAGCTCTTCACTAATTGCTTCCTCTACAAGGAGGGATGTTTCGTAAGTCCTGAAAACACCAAAAGAGATGGGCTCAGTCCAGAGAAAGCTACACGGTAGATGCAGGCACACGCCCCACAGCGACTGCTGCTACGGGTGACCTTCAAACAGCACGGGAGAGACTCACCAGCACCGTGCCACATTGCGGACCGTGTAGCCACCTCCTCCCAGGACCAGCAAGGGGATGTTGAAGCTCTTTACATACTCCACGCATTCCCTAGAAATTCAAGCCAGAAATATCAGGGCACTCCCAAAATCTGACATTCTGACATCACTAATCTGACATTCACACGTCAGAGACGTGGTGATTTCTCCCCTGAGCTCAGTCACCACCCTGCTGCTGTGATACACCCAGCATTCAAAATTCCCACCCAGGGATCCTGACCTCCCTGCTAGTTTAGGAACCACCGTCCTGCAGTGCCTTGCGTGAGCCCTGTCCCAAGGGAAAAAACGCTGCTGCTGGAGCACCAAGGTCAAAGCTCTGCAGGGCCCTCTGCAACCCTGCAGGGTAACGGAGGGCCCCTTCAGCTGCTCTGCTCACCCATGTCCTCGTATGCTGAGGTTAAAGCAACCCAGACGGTCACAGCCCAGAGAATCAGCACCACACTAGGGAACAGAAAAAGAGCTGATGAATTTTGGCTCCAGAGGCATCACTTTTCAGACACGTAGCAGCATCCCTACCCTACCTGATTCAAGAGAGCTACACATAACAGCTCAACTAGGATGACACTGTTCCCTGGGAACAGGGAATTGGTAGCTTAGCCCTCCAACCCAGAGCATCCAGAGGGGATGCACGTGTGCACAGAGGCCTCCTTTCCTACCTGCAGGACTATGCAGGTGGGCTGGTAGTAGTCAACCACCTGGTTGATGACAGGCTGGAAGAGATGTTTGTAACCTGTAGAGACAGAAAGACAGATTTGTCATGACTCTGTAGCTGAAGAAACCAGCAAACAACTGGGCCAAGGCTGGTGAGGGCCATCAAGGAAGGGCGAGGAGCACCACGTACTTTGGTCATCGATGCCATCTCGTAGGGGCACGTTCAGACAGTAGTAACGGCCACTCTCGGCACCGACTTCATACATGTCACCTGGCCATGGAAAGACAGCAGTCACCACAGCTCAGACTTCAGCAACATGGACAGACGAGACCCAGCGCAGGTCAAGATCTATGCTAAGCAAGCTACAATCYCCCTTTCCTACAAGGGACTACAGGACTGTTCCCTCTAGGTGCTTCTCCATGTCCTTTCTTGCATTTTTTCCCCCCTCCTTGCAGCTGCAATCTCAATTTTACACTACTACAGCAAGTCTTTCAACTGATTGGGAAAGGAGACTAGGTTCCCATTACAAAGGAAGCTACGTACCTGTTCCAGGAAAGAAATAGTTCCCATATTTGTGAAATGACACTGTCATGACACGGTCTGTCAGGTAGAAAGCCTCCTGGACACCGTCTCCGTGGTGAATATCGATATCAATATACAGAACACGYGGGTGGTATCTGCCAGAAAGAGGGGAAACAGCCTTGCACTGTCTGCTCTGCACCTGAACACATCCTTATTCACAGGTTTTACTATCSCCCGACACTCTGAAAAACCACATAGCAAATCTACACAAAAACCTTCTTACCAAAAGAACCTACCTGTCCCTCTCCACATGTATCATACAGCTTTAGATACACATGACATTCGTATATATTTGTGCCTGCACAAATGCACCCACCACTCAATTCTTTGGAGATATTAACACAGAAGGCTTTCAGATGGAGACAGAAAGACACCAGAAAACACATGATAAAGAGGATCTATTTTAACCACATTGGGGTTAGAAAGTCATTCTCAAGTAACTTGCTGGTTGATTAATCTTTAAGAACTCCRGCAAATTTTAACCGTATGTGGAAGTGAGCAGTAAGCCAGCGCAGGGGGTGAGAGCACCTATTTCCCTCCATGTGCCAGGATACTGGCAGTATTGGCAATACCATGTCCCAGTTGGCTCCGAGGAAAACAAGCCGGCTCCTGAAGAGCTGCCTTGTTCCAGCCTGGACTGGATGCAAACCCCAGGGCTGCAGAAATCAGAGCTGTCACTGCCTCAGGTAGGGAATCGGAGGCAACGCGGGGAGCTGATGCCCACAGACAGGGATGAGGGAAGCCCCGAGCACAACGCACGCCAGAAGGGACATTCAGGCAGAYGTGGGAAGAGGTGACTTGCCCTGGCCAGGCTCCTTTGGCTCAGCTCTCCCATCCAAACAGAAATTTCGGAGGAAAACCTTGCTGGCTCACAGAAACAGAGGGGGGATGAGGTGAAAGCACCACTGGCAAACGCATTAGTTTGAATAGCGAAAACTGATGTTGTCAACGCACATGTCAGTACTGGAGACATGTCCTGCCTGCCAGCTGTGGAACTGGCAGAACTTCAGCACTTTCTATAAGGAAATACAGCACCCGACCAAGCCAAAGAGCAGGGAATGGGGCACACGTGCTTAAACCCAAGGAGATTTGGAAGAGACATGAAGAGGCAGACTCAGCAAACCCAAAAGCCCTTAAGGCAACCCAGCTGACTAAGAGCAAGGAGAAAAAGGGGATGCACATGCAGTCTGAGCGCTGCAAAAGGCAGAGGGGACCTTCTAAGAGCAGAGGGACCACAGTGCCCTCAGAGCAAGGAGCAAACTCAGGGACTCGAGTATGCAACTGCCTCCTGTGGAAATGGTTCCCCAAGAAGAGAGAACAAAGGATAGAGGACACATTATAGTCTTCCTTGAGGGAAGATGAGGCTGYATTTGAAGCTTCTAGCAAGGGAGACCCTAAAAGAGGTGCCTGAAAAATGGGTGTGTGGAGATATAACAGTGAAGAGCTGGAGTATCAAGAACAAAGGAGGAAAAACTGGCATGGCGGTTGCCATGAGATGCAAGAAATCCCTGTAGGTTCCATAACTGTGACTTGTCAGCAGGCTTGCCTTCAGTCACGTAACTATTTCCTAGGATGAGCAGTGCACTTAAGAGGACAAAAATATCAGAGATTGTTCAAAGAAATTGAAGGCATTTCTGTAACTCTGATTTTCTTTCCCTTAGAAACAAAACCCAACAAGAAAAATAACTCCCCACTCTGCCTCTCTTCCRCACAGAACACATGCCCTTTGATCATCCACGTGTTGCCCAAGTTCTCCTCTTAAGCCAGTCAAGCAAATCAAGAACGTGAGAGCCATTTGTCTCCAGCGAGCCACAGCCTGCATTTACCTACAAAAGACTCACCTGGGCAAAACTGCTGGGACTCGCGAGCCCCCAAAATGACTATTTCACAGATGCATATGGAGAAACAAAATTTAACAAGTTTTCCTTATCATTAAATCATCACATAGCAAATTTGGAAGCAGATATTCTAATTCTTAAGCCCCCAGACTTATGTCTAAAGAAGAGATCGGGTTAAAGATCAAGTTTCCCGAGTTCTGAGAATTCAGAAGGGCAAAGACACCAACTGAGCACAGGAGAGAGAGAGAGAACAGACACAGGATATAAAGAAGCCACGTGCTAGCCAGGACAGTTCTGCACTTGGCCCATGTTCTTACTTAAGCAGCTCCAGGATGCCAATAACTATGTCATTAACGTAGCAAAATCCAGAGGCCTGCGAAAAAAGAAAACCAAAGAGCATTAGAACAGCATCACCACCGAGAGCGGTCCCCAAGGGGACAGAGGAGTGCTCCGATTTGTCTCATTACCTCAAACTTTTTGGCATGATGCAGCCCCCCGGCCCAGTTTATTGCAATATCACAGATCTAAGGAAGGAAAGATAGATTAGTTCAAGATGACAACACGGCACCCACCACCTTCCACACGTCTCCAACCAGCAGACACTTCAACCTGCCCAGCACTGCGGCTCCCAAAGGCCCTTCTGCCCTTCCCTGCACCTATGCAGGCCATCGTGGAGCTCCAYCTTCCTCTGCAGCCCAGCTAGCAAAGTTTGCTCCATCAGGTCCATACTGGATTAGTCCTGTACTCTGCATGTTACTACATACAACTGCAGAGAGCCTCTCCCACCAACACTGATCCCACTCCAGACAGAGCACCCAGCACGTTCAGCTCGCCCTCAGGCTTGGCTTTACGCTTACAAGACTCACAAGTGTCATCCCTCTAAAACACTGTCGATTCTCTGCTGCTTTTATAGGTAACAYAGCAGTGCTTACTCTGCTGTTGTTAAAAACCTCACCCAGGAGGTTGTCCTTAAATTAATAACCTATTAACTTCTATATAGGTTTCAAGAGACAATCACATCAGCTCGGTTACCTTGTTATTCAGCTGYGTTGCTCCCTGCAGGGAGGCCCCAGTGTAGCGAGAGCAAAATTCAAAGAGGCCTGGAAAGACCGGGCTGGAAGAGAAATAGGAGATCAAATACAGAACATGCTCCACATCTCTCCGGAATGAAGCTGGGAATGAAACTGCCACAGCAGTGAGCATGTGCAACCATCTTCCAATTCCCAGATTAAATTCTTAAAATAAGCTATACTAGTATTTTCTTGGGGGTAACACTGTTCTCCAGCTACCATGACTTCTGCCTTCACAGTACTTACACTCTTCTCCTCCAAAGAACACATAAGGACAATCTTTTTCTCTGACAACCTTCACTTTCCTGTCCTGGACAAGGCACATTCCACGCTTTACTCACCAAGGGAGCTCTTCCACACATTTCTCCCATGTTGCCAACTCCCATGAACACTAAAGACTGRAATTGAATATTCTCAACAAGAGCCCCTGTGGTTTTGTACAGCTGCATGAATACTGYCTCAGTTCTACCCGAAAATCAGGTTCTCAAAGCTGCCTACAACTGAACACGCACACATTGGCATAGCTAAAAATGACAGGCAATTATTTTAAAAAGTAGCTAGTGTGCTCAAGAATCGGAGACTCTGCAAGAACAAGAAGGGGCACAGTCTCTAGCTCAACCAGCTTACAGTCTAAAYAGCAGTTCTAGAAACATGGGCAGCAAAGAGTTAGAGAGAGCAGGGAAAAGGAGCAAGGAGCTCCAGGAATCTGACACAATCAGGAGGGATAAGAACCTCACTCTGGTTAAGAAAAGGGGTGAAAATAAAACCTAAAAATTAAATTTAAAAAAAAGAAAAAAAGAGAGAGAGAAATAGAACGCTGCACATTCTAGGAGATCTCTCCAGACATAAGCAATTTAGGATCACGTTAGCCTCTACGACCCTGTGCCCATGGAAGGCCAGGAGACTCACCAGTCATCGCCCACGTTGAAGGCATTGAGGCTTTTGGTGAATCCCTGCATGTTGTTGGGACTCACTCGCTGCAAGAAGTCGATGTAGTCCTCGGAGTGGAATCGGCACATGTCATGCTGGGAAGCCTGATACGGCTTGAAAACCTTTGGGAGAGAAAGACCAGACTGATTTCCCATCTAAAACAGCATTTGCTTTGGCTAAAAAGACACTTCAAACTAATTGCTAAACAACCTGCATGAGGTATAACCAAAAACACTCCAATACAAGGTTAGCTCCCCGACACATTCATTTAAATCCAACAAGGTGCTCCAAGAAGCCCATTTTCCTACTGATTTGTCTCTTACCCACAGAGCTCAGACTACAGTCTCYTCTTCATCAGGTAGCACTACTGCCACATGAGTCACCACTGTCCATAGAATTCCTTGATAAAGTGAAGGCTTCTGTGCCTCTGTCAGATTTGTCTCTAAGGGATTCCTAGGTTCAAGAGTTATTTACATAGAGGGGACATAAGCTTTTGAAAGTGGTCTAAAAATGGTCAGGGAGCTGGATGGATTCAAATGCGGGTTCTCATGACAACACACAGCTGCCAATTTGGCACTTGAGAGTATCTTAATATGCAGCAAGTTAAAAATTAACACTGCCTATCCAACATGGGGAAATTAAGTCTCCATTGAAAGCAGTACGGGGTAATTTTTGTGTTTCCCAGTTTGTCTTGGATGCCCTGCATGGAAAAAAAAAAAAAAAAAAGAGGTGGAATACAATAAAAGATGGAAAGTATGTGCTTGTCTCCCGAAGGAAAATATGTCAAGGCAGCGTCTATCAGCATGACTGTTTTCTAGGCTAAATATGATCCTGTAAAGACCTGCATTAGYATCAGACAGCGCCGTAAATCCAGGCAGACTGATACTCCATGAAAACTTGCATAGCTGACCAAAAGTCCATAATCTGGGAGCAGCACAAACACATTGCATTGAGAAGATGGCAGATTTTATTCTTAAGCCTCATTTATTCCATCATTTTTAAAGAAAAAAAACGTCTAGACATTTTGCAAAGCAAAAATGGAAGTCAAATGTTTGGAAGTTCACGTGCTGCCCACCAGATAAGCCATGCAGGTTTCCCTGAGGAAAGGTATGGGGGCTCCTCTACTTTCCTCAATCTCCTTCCGTGCATGCAAGTCAGTCATGCAGGTTTTCCAAGRAGCATCCTCTCCTGCAGGATTCTGGATGACCAAAAACTTCTCCTCAGCAAAACCTACTGCCCAGGAGGATTCTGGAGAGACACATCCCCTTGGGGTCCGGAGGGTTGATTAAATCAAACAAGACCAAAAGCAACATGAAAAAATCCTTGTGGAGGAGAAATACGTCTCACGGGGCATTAAGAGGCTCTCTAGGATAATTAGAGSTAGTGACAGGGGATCCAAAACAGAAAGAAAAGAGAAAAAAAAACATCAAGTCTACACTGCTAGGAGAAGGGGAAACCTGCCTCCTTCCACCTTTTCCCCCTTTGTGCTGCTCCCGGCCACACAGCCCCGCGCAGGCTCCGGCAGGTCACTCAGGCTGCCTCATACTGCAAACTCAGCAGGTTTTTCTCTGGTTTTGCCAAGCTGTGGAGTTGCATCAGCTCGGAGCAGCTTCCAGGTATCGGCTTCCAGCTGAGCCGACAGCCTCCAGCCACAGCCCGGGGGAGGCAGGGGGAACACGACGCGGAACAGTGGAGCAGGGCAGCACATCCCACCCTCTCGGCAACACGGAGCCTTAAGGAGGGGCACAGCCACAGCCACAAATAAGCTGGGAAAATATCTCAAAAGAAGAAAAACAGCTTCTTTCACCTGGGCAGAACAGCGGGCTTCTCTATGGAAAAGGCAGAAAGGGCACATACGGAATGATGTAACCACACCATAAAGCCACTCAGCCCTTTTATGGTCACCACCAAAATAAACCCTCGGCTTTATTTGCTTGTAACCTTGCCAGTCACTGACTGCTCAAGATGAAGTTTCCTGTGTGGTTTTCTGCCTCATGATGCTATTTTATGGAAAATGTAACTAAAACAAAATAAAAAAATACCCCAAACTCAGCTAGCTTCAAGGCTAAAAATAGGGCAAAGCGTATAGCTCTGCCTACTGCCTCAGTTAGCCATGGATTTGACATTTACAAGCGTCACRTCAGAATATGACTTTTGCTGTTTCTGCAAGAAAAAAAAATCCTAATCTTGGGAAGTTAGTCATAGAAATTCACATATTTACAGTAAAAATCTGGAAGCTAAACTCTCCGGAGGCTGCGTGAGCCTCAAGTATCCGCAGACAGATCCCCACTGCGATTGCTACAGGGGGTAACACCAAGACGTCAGTGAGAGGGTAACTTTTTCTTCGAGGTCTCAATAGTTTCAGCTTTCATTAAAAAGTAGAGAGGAGACAAAGAAAAGAGTCAGGAAACATGGAGGAAAAAAAAGCCTTGGAGCCTGGAATTTTTATTAACATCAGGAAAAGGCACCAGCTTCCCAATCCTGCCTTATTTCTCCTGCCAAGAGGCACACAGAAACCAGCCSCTCCTGAGGCTGGTCCCTACAGGTGGTGAATATTTGGCTGCTGTGGGTTACTCCACCTGCACAAGCTCATACGGTAACGGATGAAAGATCAAAGGATTTGACTCTAGCAAACACCAAGGTACAAGAATTAGTTCCATAAAGGAACTTTTTATAACGTTTAAGTAGGCCAATTTTTTTATATTTCATCAAGCAACGATTTTGCCGGTGCCTCTTAGCAGAGCAGTGCAATTTCTTTGAGAATTTGCCCTTGTGCTCTGGTTTTAGGACATCTTGCTAACCTCTATGTTCAACCCCCCCGTGTCTCTCCCCTCACAAGGGGATCACTAGCCAAAGAGCTGGACCRTGAGCCCATGGCAGAAGCCAGGCAGGCAACTGGACAGCACAAGAAATAATGACAAAATAGCTCGAGACAGTGGTACAAAGCAAAGGGAGAAGCTACATCTCAACTTGCCCACTTATTTCSATTTGGCTGCTGAACCTTTGCCCTAAAAAAGGCAGAAAAACAAGATTTTTGCTTCTTGTCCTCCCCAGGAACTGGAGAGGATGCTGTGAATAGGATTCAAGATATGCCAGAACTAGCACCACCGGTCTGGTCCTGTTCTCTAGTGCTCACAGCGATAAAATTCTGATCCCAGTGTTGCCTAAACTTCAAGTGCTTGAAAGGTGCCCTTTAAGCAGGGTCTTTTCCTGATATTACGACAACTAAACACCGGTCACGTTTCTCATCAGTAAGACTGGTTATAGTTTTGCCCGATTTAATGCCAAGGATGAGGGAACATGAGRACTGGAAAACCTCTGGAAAAGAGCCTGGTCTAGCTGGGAAGTGGCCGACAGCAGCACATTTCTGTCTAACAGCTTTGTACAACCACTGTGTTTTTACAACAGCTCCTGATTTATCCCCAAGAGGCTGCAAATGTGCCAACACATCACGGAGATGGGCGGGCGATGCTGTCGCCTCTAGAACTTGCCTCTAAAAGGAGCGAGTCCCCAGTGGGCGAGTCCCTGCGTCTGCCACGGTCGATTTTAAGAGCACGAGCATCAGTGTAACTTCCCAGGACATCGAGTTCAGGCACGTGAATAACAGGGAATAATGATTCCCTGCTTTGGGAAGTGCTTTACTTATTTATATAACCATAACCAAATTGTTTATGTACAAATACATAGGCGTGTATAGGATTATATATATGTCAAGTGTAACGTTTACATGCCAAGACATGTAATTATATACTGACATCTATACACACACRTGTATTTACGTACATGAGAAGCGCAGCGCCTGGAGCTGCAGGATACAGATCAACATTTAGGACAACATTCTGGCTCACGGCCTTTCCCCAGGCACATCAAATACACTCTGGGCTGCAGGAGACAATAGCTAGCAGCTAAACCCGGCCTCCGAAGCAGCTATCGTGACCTGGGAGCGGGCCAGGCAGCACAGGGATTACGTTGTTCAGTGGTCTGAAACCATCCAGGGGCAATCTCTCCGCAGGGAAAGCCAGGACGAGCTAGGGAGACAAAAACAAGGTGCCTCAAAATACTCAGCACACRGGGGTGGCCTATTCTGCACCTCAAAATAGGGAAGAAAACATCTCAAGGAGGGAGATGCATGAGTTTTAGCACTCCTCCTTGATCCTGTAGCRGGGAAAAGGGAGCTACCTATCCCAAACTGTTGGGATAGGGAAAACAAACAAACAAACCAAAGGAAACCTGCCCCAAACATGCCATGGGAATGGACACCAAACAAATAAGGATTCCGTGGAAAGGCACCTGGTTGCAGCCCGTCTGCACCAAACTTACTTCAACTCACATTTCTAACGTGATTTGCAAAACAGGTTCTCGAGAAATAAAGAGAATCAATTTTGCTTTGGGATGATCCGTACGTGCTAATCCTATTTTAACAGGTCAAGTTAGAGCCCAGGAAAGGAAAACCGTCCCCACGGGAATGGCAGGAAAGTGGTGAACGAGCCCGTGGGGCGGCTGGGCCTGGAGCACCAGGCGGGACAAGCGCTCGGTGGGGACGAGGCCCGCGCCCGGGGGTGAACCGGCTCGTTGCCACAAGCGCCAGAGCCCGACGTGTCTCCGGCTACGGTACCGGGAGCAGGGCACGGTGCCCAGGGCCAGCACCGAGCGCCCCCCGCGCCGCCCGGCCCGCCGGCGCCGCTTACGATCATCTTCTTGTAGAGGCCGTAGTGCAGCACGAGGCTGTGCGTGAGCGCCAGGCGGTGCGGCTTCATGGGGTGCCCCGCTCCTGCAAGGCAAAGGCGGTCAGCGAGGCGGGCGGGCATGGCCCCGGCCCCGGCCCCGGCGCGGGCCGCGCCGCCGCCCCCGCGCCCCTCTCACCGTAGTGGAAGTTCCCCACGTCCGGGTCGTAGAAATAGGCCACGGTTTTCGACATGGCGGACGGGCCGCCGCCACCGCCGCCGCGCGCGCGCGCGTGCGTCACCAGCGACGTCATCGCGCCGCGACCGCCTGC